GCAACTCCTTTAAGGTCATCCATTAGGACGTAGAGGAGCTGGTATCCAAACCTGTGTACACTTATCCCAGGCTGAGCTGGTGCACTCAGGATGGAATTCCCATCCTCTTGTAACTTATATTATGGGAAACACAGAGGTTGTCAACCACATATTCCCTTTTTTGTCATATTCCCCTTTAACATGTCTGTACACATGTCCGTTCATTATATAGATGTCTCCTGGGAGCTTTCAGTCTATACAGCTTTTAAACAGATAATCTTGCTGCATCTCTTCTTCTCCATCACAATGCTCATCTGCTCTCTCCATAAGTTTTTGGATATTTATCTTCATGTTATCCCTTACCAATGACTTTTTCCCTTATATTATGAAATGCAAAATTCATTGCCATTACTGGGAGAACACAATTCTCTTTCTTTACTGATATCCAACATTTGCTTTTTACAAAAACATAAACCTCTTGAAATAATACCCTGCATTCATTCCTCTGTATTTTCTCACTACCTGTCCATCTTCCATCCTTTCATTGGCTCCAGCTTCTACAAGCAGTAAGCAATTGCTCTTCATAAAGATCCAACATCATCTTCTGTTTGAATTCTGTCCTGTAGACCTTCAGGACTTTCCTTACCTTGCCAAGATACTTGACCACACACAACTCTTTCTTTCCTAAATCGTCTTAGGTATTCCTGTCAATGATTTTTTCCCTATCTGCCTTCTTGAATGTCCATCCCCCAGTCTTGAAGCCTCTAGGGTTCTAACCTTGAACTCAATGTGTTTTCCATGATGATCTTTCTCTATGGATATTTCAGACCTGAATTATCAGTTGCATCCAGCATCACATTCATGATGTTCCAAAAGTTACCCACACAATATGATCTAAGTCAAACCATTGTTCCCGCTAGTGAATTAGATGAAGACTCACTTTAATCATAGCCTCTACTGGGACTCTTCCCTGGCAGAGTTAGTCATTTTTCCTAAACTCTTACAGTTTTCTAATCACATATTTACTGTCACATTTTAACATCTTCTTGAATGCTAAAAATGTAATAATACATTTATGAATCTGTCATTTTCAGTAGATACTTCTATGAAAGTCTTCAAAGATGGCACCCAGAAAACCATATCTTCTGGAGTTCCTGCCTTTGTTTATTCCTGTCTCTCACTGAACCTCGGTTGGCATATGCCAGTGATGTGCTGTATCCAGCCTGTACCGGGTCTTGAGAGCTGATTGCAATCTTCTATCTTCAACTGTCTTCTGTTATCTCACACTGGTATCTTGAAATTAGCCAGTAGGAAAATCACCAAATGCTACAAGTCAGTGGAGAATGTATCAATTATTTGGAGAGGTGGTTTACTAATGCACCTCAGTTTATGGCTCATGATAATCATCAGAATGCACTGAAAATTATGTTGTGTTTTTCTAGATTCAGCTTCTAACAAAACTTACAACTCCCATTTCCTCCATCTTGTAATGCTGATTTTGTCACCTTTAAGAAATATCGCTGGATGGAAGACATCTTGAGAAAATATTAAAAGAGAGAAAGGCCCAGTCATCTCAGTGACCCAAAGCTCCCACCCACAGTCATAATTTTACGAAAGTCACATAAGAGTCACCAACAAAGACTAGCAGAAAGTCTGCCAGGTCACCCACAGAATTATGAGAAATAATCAATGGTTATTACTAATTTAAACCACCAAGCTAGTGAAAGGGTGGTTAGAAAAGTAATTATATTATCCCAAATGTCAACATCCATATTTCTTGTGTCTCCACAATGCCTAGACATGAACAGGATGTGCTCAATAAGGAATGAATTTATGTATTCTCTTTAGTGCTCTCTCTAAGGCAATACCCACCTGTCTGCTGTTGTCTGGATCTGTTAATGTCCCCCTGTCTTAAAGATTTCGTTTCCTTATTGGCTCAATTGTGAGGTGGTAGAAACAGTGGTAGACTCTTTAAGAAGTAAGATCGCCTGGGAAGTGCTCCAGTCATTGGGGATACATCCTTAAAGGGAATAGTAGGTCTTTAGTGCTTCCTCTTTCTCTCCTTTTGCTGTCCCACAAAAAAGTTACCAGATTTTCTCTACCACCCACTCCTGCCATGATGTGCTATGCTGCTCCCCAAATAGAGACCTAAAAGCACTAAGCCAACTTGCCATGGACTAATATTCTAAAGCTATTAGTTAAAATAAATCTTTTGTTTTTATAAGATGATACCTTGGGTAATTTTTAAAGTGGCAGAAAGCTAACATACTCTCTACCTCGGGAACCTATAGGCTGAATATTTGTGTCCTCCCAAAATTCATATGTGGAAACCTAACATCCAGTGTGATGCTATTCTGGATGGCATTTAGGAGATGATTAGAATATGAGGACACATACCACAAATGGGATTGTTTTTCTTACCGAGAGGATCTCAAAGGGTTCCTTTGTGAGAAAGTAGCAAGAATATAATATCTATAAAGCAGGAAACAGGACATTGTTAGAAATGGAGCTCACCAGTGCCATGCTCTTAGATGCCTTAGCTTCATTAATATGAGAAATAAATGTTTAACTCTCAGCCTACAGTATTTTTATTATAGTTACCAAAATAGACAAATACAAACTGAAGAAATTTCATAATAATATATGACTTATATGATTGCATGACAATAATCAGAGAAAGAAAATTAGTTCCTAAAAAGATAGATCATTACTGGACAAACACTAGATCCCTTAGCAATGCCCCATCGAAATACTTTTCTCAAAAATTACTGAAACATCTACTTCTCTTCTCCTGATAAGGATCAAAGTTATCTCTTTTCCTACCTGACTTTCTCGAGAGCCTCCCTTCCATTTTGACCTCAAAGCAAGATATCTGGAAAGAGTAGATGTCTGAGATATGAGTAAAAGAAAGTTTTTGGTTCTGCTTCTGACTGTGCAGGTCTTAGGAAATGACAAAAATCTTATCTTGAACTTTGAACCTTTGTGTTTTCTTTACAAGAAAATCTATGTCTCTCTCTCTCTTATTTAACCATATGGTTATTGCTTCTCTGATTTGTTTTGGTCTCACATATATTTTTCATGCTTTCATGTTTCTTGTTTCATAAGCTGCCCTGCTCCCTGCTACTATAACCTATCTATAATAAGTTAAGTGCTCTGCAAGTTTCACTTCACATATTATCTCCTATAATCCCTTTACCAGCACCATGAGTTGGGCTTATAATTTTTAATTCTACAGATATGAAAACATGAATTCATACAGATAGGCAATGGGTTCCAGGATTCACAACCAAAAGTTGAATCAGATTTTTAACCTAGACATGTTTAGCTGGACTACAAGAGAACTGAGAGATTGGGGAAGGAGTTAAGCACTAGTTACTTCATATCTTTAAAAAAGGAGAGAAAATTTAAGACAATTAGCAGATGTATATTTTACAAAAATAAACATGGAAACTGAAACTTGTCAAGCATGGGTCAGACAGGATTACCCAAGAAGAATGTTTCCATCTCTACTTGTACCTGTCTTTTTTTCTTAGAACCTTAGCACTGCAGGGTCAAAATGAGTAAACAATGGCCACGTAAGTGAGGAGGTAGATAAAGATGTGCTTATAGCTGCATTCTTGTGGTTGGCATAAAATTCTGTACCACAGTGATACATTAGAAGCAAACTCATGGAAACTAACAGATAAGTGTTGACTTTGTATCCAGCTATGCTGCTGAATTTATTACTTTTAGCGGTCTTTTAATGGAGTTTTTTGGGTCTTCTATGTAAAGTATCCATGTCATCTGCAAATAACGATAATTTAACTTCTTCTTTTCCTATCTTTATTGCTTTTATTTCTTTCTCTTGTCTGATTGCTCTGGCTAATATTTCTAGGACTATATTGAATAGGAGTGGTGATAGTGGACATCTTTGTCTTGTTGCTGATTTTAGAGTGAAGGCTTTCAGTTTTTGTCCATTAGTATAATGTGGGCTGCTGGTTTCTCATAAATGGCCTTTATGAGATGGAGGTAGATACTGTCTATTCTGAGTTTCTGGAGGGTTTTTATCATGAACAGGTGTTGGACTTTATTGAAATCTTTTTTTGCATCTATTGAAATGATCATGTGATTTTTATTTTTGGCTGTTGAGGCGGTGTATTACATTTATTAATTTGCATATGTTAAACTATCCTTGCATTTCTGGAATAAATCTCACTTGATTGTGATGTATAATCTTCTTGATGATTTTCTGCATTCTATTTGAAAATATTTTATTGAGAATCTTTGCATCCATGTTCATTAGTAAGATTGGCCTATAGTTCTCCTTTTCATTGGGTCTTTCTCTGGTTTTTGTATCAGCATGATACCTGCCTCCAGGAATGAGTTGAGGATTGCTTCCCTCTCAATTTCATTGAAAAGTTTAAGGAGTATTGACATCAAATCTTCTCTAAATTTCTCATAGAATTCAGTGGTGAATCCATCAGGGCTTGGGCTTTTCTTTGTTGGTAAGTTTTTAATCATATTTTCAATTTTGGTAGCTGATATTGGGTTATTCAAAATTGTTATATCTTCTTGATTAAGCTTTGGTAGCTCATATGTTTCTAGAAACCTGTCCATTTCCTCTGTATTTTCCACCCTATATGAGTAGAGATTTTCAAAGTAGGTGTTCACGATCTTTTGAATTTCCATGGGATCTATAGTAATTTCCCTCTTTTCAGTCCTTATTATGTGAATTTGAGTTTTTTTCATTCTTTTTCTTGATAAGATTGGCTAAAGGTTTGTCAGTTTTGTTTATTCTATCAAAAAAACCAGCTCTTTGATTTGTAAATTCTTTGTACTATTTTTTAAGTTTCAATTGCATTAGTTTTTGCTCTGATATTTACAATTTCTTCTCTTCTTTGAGCTTCAGGTTTGACTTTCTCTTCCTTTTCTAGAAGCCTGAGATGTAGCAGTAGGTTGTTTATCCGTGCTTGTTCCATTTTCTTGATGTGATAATTTATTGCTATATATTTCTCTTAGAACTGCTTTCATTGTGTCCACAGGTCACATCACAGTGATATATGTGCACCCATGTTTATAGAAGCACGATTTGTAATAGCTAAATTTGGAAACAACCAAAATGTCCATCAACCGCAGAGTGAATGAAAAAGATATGATACATTTATACAATGGAATATTACTCAGCTATAAAAAGGATGATCTTGATGCCTTTATAGGTAAATGGAGGCAACTTGAGACTATCATCATAAATGAAATAAACAAGACTCACATTTACAAATATTACATTGTCTCTGTAGTGTAAAAAATTGAAAAAGTAATAAGACCCAAAATGTATAATAAATATTGTAAAAATGAAAGGGAAGAAAAGTGCTCTAAAGGATATAAGTGTATGTATAAGCGTGTAAGATGACCATATTATTAAATTTTTGTTGGATCATTGAACAGAATGGTTTCACTGTCAATGTTTGAGTGTCTGTCCACTTTTTGCATGCTTTGATTTTGCAACTTGAACAACTGTTTCTAAGATGACGATATGTAATGTATCAGCTAGTGATTCTTTAGTGTTAATCTTTTTTGTTGAATTCTGTATTATTCTTCCTTACTTTTCTATTTTGTTTTTTCTTTTTTTTCTTTAAGTAAAAAAAAAACTAATAGGTAAGGTTCCTCTAATTGTGCAACCTTAGTTCCACACTGTTGAATTCCTTCATCCCTGCTGTGGCCTCTGCTCATCACAGTGGCAAGGAACTGTCAAAGTTGTTGCCATGGGTGCTACAGCACTCAGAGAACTACTCTAGGGTCATCAGACATTCCAGGTTGTTCCATTACTCAACTACAGGTGGGAATCAGAACTCTAGTAAGCTGCACAACCACCAAATTCCATGAAACCAGAAATGGGACTCAAAGTGTTTTAGCTTTCATTATGCATTAAACGACCATGAAATACTATTGTAAAGCCAAAGTACAATTTATCATGTACTTATAATGTACTTATGAATAATACCATTGAATGCTTACTACAAGGGAGGAATTCCACACACATCATTTCATTTCATTCTCAAAACAGTCAGTACAATTGGTGTTATTACACACATTTCACAATAAGAAACACAAGCTCTGAGATGTCTAGTGTATTTCTTAGTCATCTCATCTGTAAGTTGGAGACTCAGGTACGATTCCCAGTCGTTCAGTTAAACAAGCAGGGTTATACAGTGATTTAAAATCAGGATCCCGGACTTGGATGGCTTAGATTCAGATCCTGGTTCTGCCACATGTTAGCTGCATGTTCTTGGTCAAGTCACTGTGCCTCAATTGCCTTTTCTGTAGTGGCTGCCTCATATTACTATTATTATATCATGGTGGGAGTTAAATTGGTAAATAAACACAAAACACAGTGCCTGACATCTATGCTATATAAACATTACCAATTATTATCATTGATTCCCAATCTATTGGTTTTATGTCTATACTACCTGCCTTTATATGTGTGTGCATGTGTGTGTGTGTGTGCGTGTGTGTGTGTGTGTTCCCATGCGCACTGAAGCTCTAAAATTTGGGACATAGCTGGAACAAAATGTCTTAGAATAAAGGAAGGAAGAACTGGAGATGGCAGCAGAGAGCTTCTAGCATTTCTCTTCAGATTCATTCCCTGGACTGAAAAAAGACTTTGGCAGTTCTCTGAAGCAGGAGAACAAGAAAACTAATTTTCATAGTCCTGCTTTGGACCTAGTTCACTAGGTACAATATCTTCTCCTGACTAGGAAATGGATGAAAACTACAACTCAGCCAGTGTAGGTCTTTGCTGAGAAAGTGGAATCAGAATGAGATCACAGTTAGCTCAGGAAACTCTGACACAAGTCAGGTCACAAAGTTGCTTGAGCTCAGTACCTATGCCTTATCTTAAACTTTGCCCACTTCACCCACTGTATGTACATGAACCTTGTTTTTAATTAATGATTATTTTAGGATGTACCTCTAAAAATACAATTAAGTAAAAGCATTTAACATTTTAAGTCACTGCAATCATACAAATTAACAAATGCTTTCTGAAAAGTTGTGTCAGTTCACATCAGGTCATCTACGCCCAGTTCCCAGTGAGTATCATGATTGAAGAGGAGAAATCACTGCTAATCTTAAAGAGGAAAATAATATCGACTTGGCTTTATTGTTGTTTCATTCATCAATACAGAGGTCAACTGTCTTGTATGCAGAAGCCAGATTTCCGAAGCCTTAACACATTTTTTTTTTCTGTTGGGGAGTTATGTTTTACTTAATAATTTATGAAGCCCTTTTTATGATGATAAAAGTATTCCTTGCTTAGGTTGGTGCAAAATGTTTTTCTCAGTAAGTTATTTGCCAATTAATAGATTTTTTTACAATATTTTCTACAGAAGTTTTTAAAAAAATTTTTTCATTAAAATTCAGAAATTGTGGGGCTGGGGATTTAGCTCAGCAGCATAAGCACCTGCCTTGCAAGCAGGTGGTCGTGAATTTGATCCCTGGTACCGATTAAAAAAAAAAAAGAAAAAGAGAAAAAAATTCAGAAATTGTTATGCTATATGTTCTTGTACCAACTGAGGTCATTAGAAAACAATTTGACTCTTATTTATCCTCTTTTGGGATATATATATATATATATATATATATATATATAATGTCTTTAAAAACACACACAGGAATGTAACTTTTAGAGAAGTTCTAACTCTTTGAAGAAAAAATCTTGACCCTGTACAATTAACACTGTGCTCAGCACCTATAACCATCCCTTGCACATGGTAGATGCTCTGTTTGTTAGAGCTACAAATTATCATTATTTTTTCCACTTGCATTAAATTAGGAAACCAGAGTCCCACAGACTTTGAAGGAATAAAAGACAATGGATGCTGGCATATAGATTCTCCAGAGAGATTACTAGATTTTCTGGTCAAAAGTGTATTTTGTTTCTCAAACTTTAGAACATGAAAATTGGGAATTTTTTGTTCCTTGAATTCCTAATTTTTTCAAAATATATTAAAAAATCAAAATTATGTGTGTCACCTAAAACCTACCAGATGCATATACTTCAAATGTGCCCACACCTGCCTTTGATCTCCACCTTGCCTCAACTGATTCAACCTCACCCTAACCTCTGCTTTGCTTTACAAAACTCTGTCTCCCAGCCAGATTGTGAGTTTATGAATGTAGGGATGGACATATTTTGTTTATTATATATCTTTAGCATCACAGTCTGATACACATTTGGCACTCCATGAAAACAACCTGAATGAAGGAAAGAATACAGCTCAAAGCTAGCTGAAGGCCACCCTTCAACAAGAAGCCTTCCTGGCTTATGCTAGACCTCTAGGTTAGTGTCCTTTTCAAATACCCAGTAACACTTGTAACTATTTATTTTTCTCTAGAGGATGCATTGCACTGTAATAACTAATATTTCTTGTTTTCCTGGCTACAATGACCTTTGAGAGTAGGATATGGCCTTCAGCTACTTCTGGAACCCAGTTACCTTTCATGGTCCCTTTCACTGCCCTGCAGAGATCCCTGATCCTTTACTGTCCCAGACACTCTCACTACATCCCTATGCAGAGGCTTAGCTGTTCCCTCTCTCTTCCGTGGGTGTTTCCTCCTATTCATTTAGCCTCTATAAATATTTATTAAGCTACTGAATTTCAGCTCCAAGTATAGCCCAAAGTTCTAGATCAGATCAAAAAGAGCATGGATAGACTTTAACTGTTTAAGAAGCAAATCCATTCCTGGCTTGAGGAGCCTACCTAAGAGGTGGATGGAAATCCTGAATGCATAGGTAGCTTTTAATTCAAAGAGACAGCTAAAAGGATGAGGAAGCTGGGGTATTGTTTTACCAAAATAGAAAAAAAATGTGGAGTGTCGTGGAGGAGAACAGTCACTTTATTTGGATGAAAGAAAGAAATACTAGAATCGTAAGTATCGGAAGTCTTTGCAATGGCTGTGTGACAATCAGAAAGTCGAAGTCCTGGATGCTTATCCCTTGGGGGACTGTGACTCTGAACAAAACACAACTTCTGGGTCAACAAGTGGCTCAGGGTCCATGCATAAACTGAGGCATGCCATGCAGTGTTGTAATTAGAAGATTTACAAGGCAAAAAGAATGAACCAAGAGGAGAAAGAGAAGGAACTATGGATGAAAATAAAAAAGGAAACTGATGATGTGGGGTGACCATGTTGATAAGACTCTCCCAATAAAAAATTATTTCCTTTGTTAACTGTAGCTATCAAAAATGGTTACCCTAGCTCCCAAAAGGGAAAGGAATTGAGATGTTTCACATTGAAAGCCATTCCACAATCTGTAAGTTTAGACCTGTGTATGCATGAAAGTATAAATGAGATGTGGCTTTTAAGGACTTTTTAACAATATATCACTAACAACTGTGGTGAATTATGATGCATGAGTTTTCTGTTGTTTGGTTGTCTGACTCAGAAACAGCCCCAAATTATTTCTTCCTCTATGCTTGACCCCCTGATGTGAGATTAGAATTGTTAGAAGTTTAATATTCAATTTTTTGGTGAAGAAATAGCCAGACCCATAAAATTATCAGGTCTAATCTCAGAATCTGCAGTCATCTGAAACAGACCGACCCCACCTGCCTTAGTTACTTTTTACTTGTCATTGAGACAAACTATCTGATGTCCAAAGTTGGGAAAGGAAAAATTTATTTTTTACAGTTTTTGGAGGTTTCAGTCCATACTTAGTTGGCTCCAAGGCAGGGTGGCATGGCAGGCCGCAGTTCATGGCAGCTGCAAACAGCAAGGCAAAAACTGGCAAGAGAGAGATACACGTCTTCTTCCTGTCATTACATCACATCGTGGCTCCACCCCTATATGGGTGTAGCACTAACACCATCAATCCAAGCACTAGACAACGAACCAATCACAAATGCATAATGCAAAGGCATGGGGCTTGGGGCCACCAACATAAACTATGACACCACCATTTGCCATTTAACTCAGCTCATCAAGCATTCTGTCCATAACATGCACAAGAAGGCACATTCAGCCAAACATCATTTAAGAACAGAGATACACTATGAGAAATGCGTTGCCAAAGCAATCACTATTAGGTGGCAGCATCATGAACATCATAGCATATACACTACTTTCACACAATAAGATAGCTACATCATGAGGTGACATAATTTTGTGGGATTGCTATTGCATGGTGAAATGTCATTATGCAGTACAACATTTTGTTACTTTGTCATTCAGTCATTAAATGATATATGGTCTAAGAATTTAAAATTCCAAGGTCCACATAATTTAGAGTATCAAAAATATGGCTAATATACATATGCATATATATGTATATAAATTAGTTCCTTTATACTAATAAAAATCTATTAAATTAAGATTACTGTATATTTATTTGGCA